TTGTCCAGTTTTTCTTTCCCATGTGGCCAGATTATAAAGGTGTCATCTACATACCTGAGCCAGAGTTTGGGTTTGTGATCAGATTTTTCTAGAGCTTGGGTTTCAAAGTATTCCATATAGAGGTTTGCAATGACAGGTGAGAGGGGTGATCCCATGGGAGCTCCTTCTATTTGTTTGTATTTTTGTCCGTTGTAGATGATGTCCGTTGTACAAACAAATAGAAGGAGCTCCCATGGGATCACCCCTCTCACCTGTCATTGCAAAAGCTTCCCTTTCAGCCAGTAGATCTATTTTTGTTGCTTGCAGTGGCCTTTGAGAGGATAGAAGTCCCATCCTCTGCATTAGGCATCTATTTTTCTCCTTAAAGCATCGTTGCTTTGTAGTTTCAAATCTCAGTCTTTTCTTCTTCTGTTCCTCAAAGTTACAGATGGAAACTTTATAAGGTAGAGTAAGTTCCTCTTTTATTTCTGTTGATTCCTCTTCTAGTAAGTTTTGATTTATAGAATAGTCAGCTGTAGTCTGGACATCAGTTTGAATGTTTGAAGTAAGATTTCTGGATCTTAATTCCATAGTAAACTCTTTCATTGTAGCACATATTTCTGCAGTAGCTTCATGAATCTTTTCCAAAATAAGTTTACAGTTTAATTGTAACTGAGGTTTCTCCATTTTGATAATAGTTAAAAAGAGACTCTTTTTTTTCTTTTTTGTGGAGGCTATATTTAATAACTTAGGCAGTATCCACCCCCACAATTCCCACAGCTGCACAGCTTATCTTTTCTCTTCAAAAATAATTTGAAGGTCAGGTCTATTCCATCTTCAAAGAGTGGCCAGAAGTTGCAGTATTAGGTTTTCACCACTAGATGTCCTCAGTAGGTTAAAAAAGATCTTTTCCAGACATTATTTCCCTTTTTTTTCTGTCTTTTAAAGTATAATGTGAAAAAAGAAATAATCTTCCAGCATAAGATAATAATACAGTTCTTAGAAAGAGGGAAAAAAATTCTGTACCCCAGAAAGTATAGAAATAAAGTATAGTCTTTAAAAAAAATTCTATTTTTATACAACGCCTTTCTTCCCAAACATGTAGAAGCTGCTTTTTCAAGCCAGGGAAATAATTCCAACAAGGCTCTTACAGGCACAAAAAACAAGATAGAATAGAGAGAGTAGCAAGGAAAAGTCTCACCTGGATTCACCACGGGGGTTCTTACAGCTTAGATGTTCTTTGACTTGCAGTTTGAAGTGGCAGGGTGATCGGCCATTTTACTGGCCGATCTTCTTCTCCGTCGGCCCTCAGAGATAGCTTGGACAGCTGGAGGAGCTGCCACTCCTCCGCCGCCGAGCAAAGCCTGAAGGAAACACATTTTTAGTCATTCCCTCTGCATTACTTTATTTCAGAATCTGCAGATGCTTAGAACTACACTAAAGATGGATTTTTTTTCTTCATTAAAATGCCATAAATATTAATCATTTTCTGGAGGAGTGGCTCCAAGCGGTGGTGGGAATAAGTGATCTCTTTGTGCCAATGGTTTCTTTGTATGTATAATTGTTTGATATTAGAGTTTTTCTTCTAAGAGTTCGGTAATGTTGGGGCAGCTGAAACCACTGGGGGAAGATATTAACCACATAGCAAGACTTCATGGACTCCAGGAATATTGGTTATGTGAGTAGATTGTGATTCCTTACTTGTATTTTCTTTATATACTTCAGGAGAATATGAA